AGAGAGGAAGGCATTCCAGGGAAGGAGTGTATGATGGGCACCATCTACCAGGGTGTTGGGGATGATTGGGGGAGGGGCTAGCTGGTGGGCAGAGGGTTTGAACCGTGAGGATTGGTGAGACACAAGGTAGGACAGACAAAGAGAGGCCAGATCAGACGACCCGTGAGTACAGGCACCCTAATGACCAGGTAGTGGAATAAAGATTTGAGCCCGTGGGCCCGAGGGAGCCATAGGAAGTTCTTGAGCAAGAGGGACGGTTATAATGAAGCGAGACTTCGGGGAGAAAAGAAAGAAAGAAACCTGTCTTTACTAAGAGCCACTATAGGCTAGGGAGTAGGTTGGGGATTTTCAAATTTATTATTTCATCTGAGCCTCACACCCACCATTAGGCTGGTATCGGTGCCCCCATTTTATAGGCAAGAAAAGTGAGGTCAAGAGAAGTGGAGCCACAGAGCTGAGCTGGCGGTGGAGCTAAAAGTCAGGTTGGTCTGAACCCAAGTCTGTGCTCTTCCCACTGCACCACGTGACTTTACGCTGCTGTGGCTCTCGGAACAGCCCTCGTGCCGCAGGTGTCCCCACCAGGCGCTGCTGCCTAGCCAGGGCCTCGAGAGACTTTTCCCAGTCCAGAGAGAGCTCAGCACCTTTAGACCCTTGGGGACCCCCAACGTAGGGTAGCGTTCGGTAACTCAGAATGCAGACTTTACAAACATAAGTTGTCCGTAAGTGCTTGGCCTCTGGGTCAGATAGAAACGGGTTTGAATCCCAGTTTAGCTGTGCACTGAGCCTGGACTGAGGTGGGGCAGTGGGAGGAGCCCTGGGTTGGGAGCCAGCCCAGGCACACACTGAAACCCGAGCTGGAAGTGACAGACACCACAGGCGGTGAAGTGATAAGATGTCTTTACTTATTTCAAAATAATTGGGGGGGGAGCAATTTGGAGGGGGTAGAGAGAAAATAAGATTGCCCTGAATTGATAATTGACCCTGGGGGATGGGTTTGTGGGGTTCCATTACACTATTCTTTCTACCTCTATGTGTTTGAAAATCTCCATAATGAAAAGTAAAATAATAATAACACCAGAAACTTTTAAAATCTCAACTATGTTCACCACACCCTCCCCCAGATGAACTGGAATCTCTAATTCCCAGGCATTGCCCTGCTGCGCTTTAGTTTCCTCATCTGAAAATGGGGTAAGATTCTAATGACCTCGCAGAATTGCTGTGAAGTGTAAATGGGATAATACAGGATAAGATGGGCTAGACATAGTGTAGAACAGATGTGAGCAAGTCATCCTGGACTTTGCAGTCACTCTGAGCACCACATTTGGGGAGGAACCCTAAACCAATATGTGCGGCAGAAGCCAGCTGATGGCCTGGCAGGGGGCAGGCCCCACCTTCTGGGCAACTTTTACAAGTTTTCCAAAGCGCAAAGAATTCATCTCCTAGAGGGGCCTTTTCCTCTGCCTTTCCCAACTGTGTAAAGACCAAGCTCATCATCCTTCCCTCTCCCGTCTGCGTTGCAGCGTGTGTCCACACATACCGAGGTGTGCCTGACCAGGTGGACTGCTTCTGCGAAAGTTGCGTGAATGTGTGCAGACGTGCAAGCCATGAGTGCATACGTCTGTGGACAGGCATCTGTATTTGTGTTGGTTGTGCTCACCTAGAGGTCCACAGGCTTATGACAGATTTCAGCAGCCGATCCTTCTTCTGGAGCTATCTCAGAGGCACAAATTCCTGATCTGTTATTTATTCGAAGTCACCCAGCACAAGGACACGAGGGTCACTCAGTATCACCAACAGAGGGGCAGGTGGGCGGGGGAGAAGCGCTGAATGGAGGGAAAGGCCTGGGTTTTCTCCGCTTTTGTTGCCACTGGCTTCCAGGACTTGGGCCTCAGTTTCTCCAACTGTGTTGGGGGCAAGGAAAGGGATAGGCAACCCTTGGCCAGGTGTAGGCACTAGGAAATAATCAGTGAGCGAGGGGGTGAATGAATGCATAAATGTGTGGGGACCATCTCAGCGTGGCAGACAAGGTGACTTGGAGCCGTGAGAGTGGGTGGCGGGAGCTCCCCAGGCTGGGAAGGGACTCGTGGCACTTGGACTGACCCCTCTGGGGTAGGAAAAGAGAGCGAGGAGAAAACAAAGGCAGAAGCTGGAGCGGGTGGAGAAGAGCAGGGGAGACGGTTCGCAGCAGGAGAGAAGGAGAGAGGAGCGAGAGGCAGGGGACTCCCGGACAGCGGCCCAGAAGCCATGCGAAAGCGGAGGCGCTGGGGCTCGGGATGACGACCCAGCCGGCGGCCTGCACACCGCCCGGGTTCCGGGTTTCCTTCCCGCTCCTCCGGGCTCCGCAGCGCCGCCTGGCGGACACGCGGCGCTTCGCCGGGACTCCAGCCGCCGGCAGCGCGCCTGGGATCCCGTGGCTATACTGTAGAAAGCTGGAGACAGCTGGGGGCGCACCTTGGGGAGCGGCGTTTGTCCCTCCGAGGAGGCTCGCACCTCGCCTGGACATGCAGAACATACTGGCAACCACCCTGCGCTAACCCCGCGCCGCGGGTGACTCGGCTCCGTCCGTCACGTCGGGGAATCCTTTCAGCCCTCGACCCCTGGCGCCCCAGCTCCAGAATTTTGCTGCCTCTGCGTATCTTCTCCGGGAAGGGGGGTCTCATTAAACTTTTAAGGGAAGGGACTTGGTTTTGGGTTTTGTTAATAAAATACCAAGAGGGGGCATGAAGGCATGAACACTCCCAGTTTGTCTCCCGCCAGTCCCAGGCCTGAATCCCAGGGCAGGGAAATTTCTAGGTCTTTCCCTGCCCGAGCAGGTCCTAGCGAGCGAGGTGTGGTGGCCCAAGGACCCCTGTCCAAAGGCGCGAGGCAAAGGAGCGCAAAGCTTGTGGGTCACAGTGGCTGGGAGCTCGCGGCTGGTGCTGGTGAGACGGGGAGCAGTAGCCTGGTTTTCAGGTCCCAAGCCGCGGGCACGGGAGTGTGGGACTCTGGCCGCACCACCTCCGCGAACGCCCTCCCCTCCCACCTGGCGGGGATGGGGGCAGCGGTGTCTGTCGCAGAGCCTGGGGGCCGCAAGCCGTCCCGTCGGCCAGGATTCTCGAGGAACCAGGTCCAGCCCAGACTCTCGTCTGGACCCGAGTGGGAGCGGGGCTTCGGCGTCCCCGGGGTCCTCCTCGGCGCCAGCTCCGGTTCCCAGGGTCTCGGGGCGCACCGGCATCAGGGTCAGAGGCGCCGGAAGCTACCCCCTCCGTAGAGGTGGCGGCGAAGCCAGAGTAGGTCGCCGGGGTTGCTTTGCGTGCAACCCGGGAAAAGGCCCCGCAGCCTTAAGGCAGGCGCTAGGAGGAGGGTGGAAAATCTTAAAGCCACCAACCTCTGTGCACACGGAGGCAGGGGCCGCGCGGCTGTCAGACCCAGACCGAGGGCCGAGGGCGGACTCTGCGCGGCAGTTGAGTCCCCAGAGGCAACGGTGGGAGCTGAGCGCTTAGGGAAGCCCGACACTCAGAACCCAGCACGGCCTAACTCCGGGGAGAGGGGAGTTTGGGGCGCGCGCTCAGCGCCGCGACTGCTCGGTCCCGGGATCCCCCGAAGGGCGCTCTGGGATCACAGCTCCCAAACCAGAACCAGAGCTCGCGCCCAGCTCTGGAGTGTCCGTGAGGCGGCACAGGGTCTCCGACCCGGCATCTCCTCCCCGAAAGCGAGCAGGACTTTTCTGCGGGTGGTTCTGTCGGCGCTTCAGGCAGCTCGGTCCTGCGGCCCAAGCTGGGGAGAAGGGATCGGCGCGCGCCGCGGGGATACGCGCCGGGACCCAGGCCCCCGCCGGCGTTTGCGGTGCGGAGCTCGCAGCCGGAACGGCCCTCTGCGCCCATCTGGTTGCCCAGAGAGGCCGAGCGTGGGCTCCAGGACCCTGGCAGGGCCGGATTTGAAGGGGCTTCCGTGTCCCTTGCCCCGGCGTGCTCTCCTGCGGCGCAGGCTGGAATAGAGCGCCGGCTGCAGAGCTAGCAGGACGCGGGGAAAAGCAGCCTCGGCGCCGGCCTGCCCGGGTCGGACTCGGGAGGGAGGAAGCAGCTGGGGGTGGGGGCGAGGGCGGAGGTGGTTCTTCTGGCCCGCGGCAGTCAGAAGAGAACAAAACTCACTTTCCCCCAAGAGACTAGAGGGTTACGGCGCACTCTGCCCAGGCCGGGGAAACAGGTTCCCCAAGCGCCCCTCCGTCCCCCAAACGATCCCTGCTGCGCGCCTGGGGCGGGGGATGCTCGGACAGCAGAGAGGGACAGCGGGCGGCAGCACGTTCCCGCGGCCCAGGCCCAGGCGGCGAGTCCCGGCCTGCTCCGCTCCCTGCACAAAACGAAACCCAAACGCCCAAAAGTCTCAAGAGGGAAATTTAACAAAAACCCCACTTTCCCCCCTCCTTTCACTTTTAACAAACCGTCTGCTAAGGGAAAACGTAAATAAAAACGAAATGATTGATAGCGAAGGGCACTATCTTTCCAAATTGTGAAATTTCCTCTTTAAAAATATTTTCCCCAAGGCCAACCCTGCGACTGGCCGGACCTTCCAACGCCTTGGCCTCTTCCAGAAAATCACAACAAAGCAATCGGAAATTCGGCCACGGCCCTGGGAACCCACTGCGGGTTCTGCCACGCTCTCTTTAACCAAAAAATAAAAAAAGATAAAAGAAGAAGTAAAACCTTTTAATACATCAAATATACGGAATTTTAATCTTTAAAGCGATACATTGTCTATTATTTTAGTACATGACGTAAACCTTGTCCCCTTCTCAGCGGGTGGACTTAAAAATTAAAAATAGTTAAGTGTTCCTTTTAAAGAACAAAATAAGGCAAATGAGGTTTTGGAATAGAATTGTTTTTCCTTTTTTTTTTTGTTGTTTTCTTCCAGAATACATACAAAAAAATACCCATTCTCTTTCGATGGTATACACCTTAAAAATAATTGCAATTTGAAATCAGAGCTGACAAATTGTGACTTGTTTTGTTTCTTTTTTTTCATTTTTTGTAACAAACATGCATGTAAATTTGTGTTTCAATCAGACATTAAATAACGTACAATACAATCATAGCAATTTTAAAGTAACATTAAAGAGAAGACCTCTAGTTCTGTGGTGGTTTTGCTTTTATTTATAATCTACAAGGGATGGGAGGGTTTGTTTTCCACATTTTTACCCTCAAGTTTTAATTTCTTTCCCCTCCTTTTTTACCTACGGAGCTCAAACTAAATAATGCACTTTTGAACCACGGGTCCGCTTGGAGCTAACATAAATAAATACCAGTGTCCACCGACGCAGTCCTCAGATGAACACTGTCTCAATTACTTTTTCCTTCTTTTTCTATAAAAAGTCAAATGATTTTTTTTTTCAACTTTTATAAAGTTTGGGTGGGGAGGTGAGAGGTGGGGGAAAGGGGAGTTTCCCACCGGGTCTCGGTCGCTGTTCTCGGGTAGGTAGATACGGTGTATATTTTTTTCCTTTCGTGGCCCGGGTCTTCCCTGCCCGCGGGTGTCAGCGGCCCCGGCAGCGCTCCCGCCCCTCCCTCGGCTCCTCCCCTCCCCCCAGCTCCTTTCTCTCCCTTGCTAGCCCCGCCGGCGCCCTCACTGATACCCCAGCGCAGAGGCGGTGGTCAGTCTCTGTCCGTAGAGGGCGTAGGGGGAGTAGTAGGGTCCGGTGGCGGCGGGCACCGGCACGGGGGCGCCGGGCGTGGGGAGCGGGCTCTTGGAGTAGGGGTGATAGCGGCTACTGAGTCCCAGCGCGTGGTGGGGGCTGCGCAGCGCCAGCGTCCCAGGGCTGCCCGGCGCGGCTGAAGTGGGGATGTGCATGTGGCACGCCATGGCGGCCGCGGCGGCGCTGGCCAGAGACGACGAGCTGGGGTAGCCCGACAGCAGTTTGTCTGTCCCGGGGAAGGCCGTATGGGTCCGCAAGTGGCTCAGCAGCTCTTCGGACGTGGCGAAGCGCTTGTCGCACGGCCCGTTGGCCGACACCCAGTTGCAGATGTGGGGGAGCGGGTCGTTAGGGAGCATAAAGCCGTAGGGGTAGAGGGGGTGGCCGGCCAGGGAGGGCGGTGTGGCGCCTGCAGCAGCGGCAGCCGTTAGCGATGAGTGCACACCATGCAGTGGGTGCGTGGGGTACACCAGAGGGTATCCGGACTTAAGTGCCGCGGCCGCAGCGGCCGGATCGTGAGCGCACGACGCGCTGGCGGCCGCCGCCCCGGCCAGGTGGCTGGCGCAGTGGTAGCTGAGGCAGTACGGGTCCCGGCACAAACTGGCTGTCATCACGGATGGCGGCGACGCCCCGGCCAACGGGCTCGAGCCGGCCGGCTTACTGCAGCCCAGAGAGCCGGCCGCGGCCGCCGCCAGCTGCGCCCCCACCAGGCTGCCCGGCTTGGTGGGGTCGAGTGCCACGCCGTGTGGCAGGAACTGGGGCGGGTAGCCAGCGTAGGCCCCGGCCAGGCTGCCTGGGTAGGTCATACCCGCGGGAGGCAGAGGGAACACTGTCTGGCCCGGCTTGTAGGGGGACACGGGTGCCACCAGCCCAGAGCCCAGCACTGAGGAGGAGGTGGGCGCGCTGGGGCCGGAGCCAGAGCTAGAGCCCGATGAGCCGCCGCAGTCCGAGCCTAGAGCCTTGCCCCCCGGGCCCCCATCCGGGTGCTGATTCACGTCCACATTAATCCCGCCGCCGCAGCTAATCCGGCCATGCGCCAGCCCCGTGGGTCCCCCTTCCGCCGAGGCGCCCCCAGCGCCCTTGCTGCTGCCGCCGCCGGCGTCGGTGTCTTTCTTGTCGTCCTTGCCCTCCGGGCCGCCCCCAGCCGAGGGCAGCATGCCTCCCGGCGAGCAGGCCGAGGCGCTGGAGCTCGGGCTGCCTGTCCTGGGCGTGAATGGCTGGCAGGTGGCGCTCGGTACCCGGAATCCCGACTTCTCCGCTGAAACACCCCCGCCGCCGCCCCCGCCGCCGCCGCCGCCTCCGCCGCCGCCGCCCGGCTCCTTCTTATCTGAGCCGGGTTTGGAGTACGGCTTGAAACTTGACTTGTCTTCCACGCCGATGTCGCTCAGCTTGAGGGGGCCTGACTTGGCGTCCTTGTCGCCCGGGGCGCCGCCGCCGGCGCCTCCCGTGCCGCCCCCGTTGGAGGCGACCGAGGAGAGTTTGGAGGAGGGCGAGGGGTCGGGCTTCCCGATCTGCGAACATGTTTGCGCCAACAGCGCCAGCGGGCTCTTCTTGGCATCGAGCTGCGGGGTGGGGTGTGGGGGTCACACAGAGAAAGAAAGGGAAACCCTTTAGACTCCTGGCTTCTGGGGTTCAAATGCCCCTCCGCATCAGCCCACTAAGATCCTCCCCGCCCCGAGGCGCAATTCTAAGCTGCACCCCGCTCCACACTCACCCACAAACAACAAACATTCTCGCCCTTGGGAAAGGCGGCAGATACCCCCCCACCAACCCCCATCAGCATCTTTCCTGCCCTCTCTGAGAGCTAAATGGATTTAAAAAAACAAAATGTTTTGGTTTTCGTCTCCTAGACCCAGAACTACACCCCCTCCCCCCCACACCCCTAAATTCTTCAGAGTAAGGGCTTGGGCGGTTGGCGCCTCAGAGGCTGGGTACGCATACTAGCTTCTGGGGAGCCGAAGGACGGCGACTTTGGAAACGTTTTTCAGACCTCCGCCTGCCTCGGTGCCGAGTAAGTCAGGGGACCTGAGTCGGGGTAGGGGCTTTAACCCCAAAAGGAGAAACAGGTTTTGGTAGCCTTCACTCCCAGTTCCACCTCCTCCCTCTTTCTGCCCTAGTTTTGAGGTGCTGAAGCACTATCCTCTTCCTCTATCCCCGAGCTGAATCACTCCGACCCCCCCACCCCCAGATCCTGAGAGAAAAAAAACCCTAACGCGGCAGCTGGGGTAGTGGTCCCAGCGCGATCCAGGGAGAGGGAGAGGGTCCTTACCTCGATGGGGCTGACGGGCGTGGAAGGCAGGGGCTGCAGGTACTCGGGGTGCAAAATATGGCCAGTCCGTGCCGTCAGCATCTTCAGTACCTTGATGGGCAGGCGGTTGGCCTGGCGCAGGGGGTCAGAGGGGGGCACGGCGTGCACAAAAGGCTTAGTGCTGCCGGCCGGGGACGAGCCTGGGCCGGGGCCGGAGCTACTTCCAGAGAGCGCGCTGGTCCAAGCAGGGTCTGCACTGCCGCCGCCGCCGCCGCCGCCGCCGCCGCCGCCGCTGTGCTTACTGCTTCTTAGGGCAGAAAGCGAGGGCGCTGTGCTCATGACCCACCCGCGCGCATGGGAGCAGCGGGGGGAGGGCTCCGGGGCTGCGCGCTCGCCCGGGGAGCAGGAGCAGCAGGAGGAGCAAGAGCCGGCGCGGCGGCCACGGGCGCCCAGCGAGCCTTCTCGGCGCCTACAGCCAGAAGCGAATAATCCTGGATGGCCCGCAGCGGAGCCGTGGCCGGGCTGGAGGAGCCGGCAGGACTGCGGGAGTGCCGGGCGGCTCGCGGTGTCCGCCTCGGGCTGCTCCCCTGCGCTGCGCTCTCGCGGCCCCGCGCTGGCGCTGCGCTCTGCGATGTGAGCCGCTGCGTGTCCAGCCGGGGCTCTGGCGAGGAAACTCACTTCAAAAGCAGCTGCACCGAGGGGGAGATTAAAGCCTTTGCCGCCTTCCAATCAAATGGGAGCCCGAGGTGATTGGAGGGTCAAGGGGATGTGACGCGTCCCGCGCCGCCGCCGCCGCCAAGACTCTCGGAGCTGGTATTAATGGGCAGCTTTCTCTTCGCCACCCCCCTGCGTGTCCCCTCCCTCGATTTCGCTCCGAGGACTAGATGGACATTTATTCTACGTTTGTCATCCGCCGCCTCCCTCTTTTTTCCTCCTCGTCGTTCTTCCTTTCCCCGGCTCGAAAATAAACTGAAACCTCCTTTTGGAGGTGGGTGCGCGTGAGGAACGGACTGAGGGGGGTGTCCAAAAGGAGCACGGGCGGGAGTGCGGACACCAGTCGGACTGTCAGCTGCAGAGGCGCGCAGGAGACCCGCACACCAAATGTTCTTTCCTCCTCAGTAATTGAGATCCCGCGCGGCGCGGCCACCAGGATATGGAAAGGTGGGGAGCCGGTCCTGGAGGAAGTCCGCCCGCCCGCTTTGATTTCCTGAGATTCGGCGGCAGAGAAACCAGAAACTGGATGGGCAGCGGAGGCGGTGGCTGCTCAGCACGGCGGTGCGCGCCCGGCTCTCCGCCCTTCCCGGCCACGTGATTCTCCCGGACGCGTAGATTGGGGCTGGAGCGGGGGTCACATGTTTCCTCTGTTTCACACTCGTTCTCTCCCCCCACCCCGTTCGTACTCTCCCCTTCCACCCTCTCTTTCCTCTCCCCCCCGTTCTTTGGGCATCTCCACCCCTCCATCAATTGTCAATGTTCCTCGACCGCAATCAATCAGTTATTTGTCAGCTCTTGTCAATCCGCCCGTGATTTATGTCAGCTTTTGTTGCTGATTACAAGGCGGGTGCGACTTGAAGAGAAAAAGAGAGAGGGAGAGACAGAGAGGAAGGAAGAGACCGAGAGGGAACCCGAGGAGGGGGAAAGAGTAGCAGCCTCCTGGGATGGGGTGTGAGGGGGCCTAAGAGAAAGAATGAAAGACGGGAAAGCGGCGCTCAGTGTCAGGAAAATGCATAGTGGGAGGAAAGTGCGCAGGTGCGCCCAGGGCTCGGAGACGGGCGCGCAGGCCTGGGGTGCGCGCCTCTGCTCTTGGTGTCGGAGACATACACACCCTTCCACCTAGCGGGGCTCCGGTCCGTCGGGGTCGCGGAGTTCCGGGCGGCTCTGGGTACCTGAGACGGGCAGCGGCGACGTCTAACATGAGAAACTTCCCATCACCACCTCCTTCCATAGTCCCTCGGGGGCGTGTAGCCTGCGGATGTCAGGCTGCCACCCTGCCGCGGACAACTAACTACCCTCAGTAGTTCCCCGACCCCAAACTCGGAGACTTTTCTAAGAGCCACACCACCCAGTAACCTTGAGTACGGTGGGTCAATGGAGGGGTAAGGCCCCCTCAATTCTTCGACCCCCTGGGATAGTAACCAGGGCTGAGAGGAAGAGGCCTGGCCGTGGGTGTACGGGGGAGAAAGGTCTCAGGCTCACAAAAGTCGCCTCCCCAGTCCTCCCCAGCCACCCGCCCGGCGCCATCCCAGCAGGCTTGGGAACCTGTGCTTCTTGGGGCTGGTCTCTCGAATTTAGTGGCACGCAGAGCTGGGACTGACCTGCGCCGGGAGAGCCCGGGGAAGGAGCGAGAGAGGGAGGGGGCGGCTGCCTGTGGGAACGCGGGTTCTTCCAGGGAAGCGGACCGAGACTGCCGCGTTCCCCTCGATTTGCACCGTCACTCGGGTTGTTTTGAAAGACGAGGGGAAGCGCTGAGCATGCCACCGTGTACCTGGATCTGGGTGCACAGTGTGAATGTATGCCTGTACCGCTGTGTGAGTTTTCAGGGCTTTGGTACCTAGCGTCCGGGCAGAGTTCGAGGGTCACCTCCAGAAACTGGCAGAAATTGGAAGGGGTGAGGGGAGGACACACCCCCTTCCTTGGACCCACTTGGAACACTTTGAATCTCCCCTCCCCCACTTTTCCGCCCCGGCTCTTCTTTTGTTGTCAAGTCCTTTTGATAAATGGTGGGGCCGGGAGCGCTGGGAGCTGGGAGCCAGCCTGTGCCCGCGCGGGGGGCAGGGGCCGGGGGCCGATCCCGGAGACCCGGTTTCGACCGGCGCGCACCCGGCGCTGAGCCGGGTCTGGAACCCTGGAACCTGCCCTGGGCGTGCTCGCCCTCTCCCTCTCCCCTCCCCGCTCCCCTCCCCCCTTCCGTCTCTGTCTCCCACTCCGCACGGGTGCCGCGAACTTTCTGGGGTGAGTTTTAGAATTTTCTCGTAGGCGTTCTTTTTCTGCGTTTTAATTTTAGCCCTTGATTCTCCAGGTTGGCAAACTTCATGAAATGGTAACTTGACTAAAGCCAATTTGGAGAGAAAAGGGAAGTGAGGCGGTGTGCGTTTTGGGCGGGTGTTTGTCAGTGTGAGCGTGTAAGAACACACCTGCACTCAAAGGGGTTTATAGTATCTGTGCGACAACTGAGGAAGGCGAGACGGTGGCGAGGCCACACGCAAGGGTGTAAAGGTTGTCTGAATGATCTTCCGGGAGCGAGTCCCAGGTGCCCGTGTCTGAGGGCGGTACAGTCCTAAGCTGCCTCTGCAGGGCAACGTGCCTGTGAAGCCGCTCTTCTCCTTCGGGTGTGTTAGTGTCTGTCTGTGTCACTGAGTGCGCGGCCGTCTAGGTAGCGACTCAGACCAACTGCAGCGCCGCCAGCCTAGCCTTGGGCCGAGTGGCGCCGAGACCTCCCCGTGAGGCCCGGGCACTGAATGCTGGCAGCTGCAGCAGAGCTGGGGGTGACCGCAGTCCGGGGGCGTCCCTCCCCACCCTCCACCCCAGTCTCCAGACGCGTCTTTCCCCCTCTGCTCTAATTCCAGCAGCTTTTCTTACTACACCAGGCGGCTCAGGGGAGGCAGCCCCAGCACCCAAAGCCTGGGGGAGCCGTGGAGTGGCTCCCGCATTCCCGGGTTTGGCCGCTCACGCTCGGGGGTCTGCGCCGTGCAGCCTGGGCACGGGTCTTAGCCAGCGAGTATTCACTCTTCTCCAATCTCAACTCCGAAGGTCCGAGCGCACGGGGGCGCCTGGGGGCCTCCGCGCCCCAGGCTTTTGGGAGGCGCCAGCGTCCGAGCCTGCGCACCTCCTGACCAAGGCCAAACCCCCGAAGGCCGCGCAGGCCGGGGCTGGGGGGTGGGGGGTTATTAATTACTCTGCGCTAGGCCTAATGCCTCCAACCCCCAGCAGCGGTTGGCGCGGATGTCCTGCGGATTTTATTTGCACACAATGGAAATGATTTGTTTTCTCTAAAAAAGGAGTGGGCATGGCAGATATTTGAGGAGGGAGTGGGAGGAGGAGAACGAAGAGTAGAGAGCTGAGGAAAAAAGTTTGAAAATGCCTTGAACTATTCACTGTCGAGATGGCTAATCAGTATTGAGGCCGGAGGGCAGGCGGGCCGCCTTTCACCGCCGCTTCCCTTTCATCTCGGGCTCGGCGGAGGCGCTCAATTAAAAGCCTATCAGTTTGTAAGTAAATCAACGCCTATCAGAGTTGTCACATCAAACAAAACGATTATTATTGCAGCCCGCCTCCCCTATTAATCTCCCTCGAAGATAATCCGCCTGACAGGTCAGGCCCGGCGAGCTGGAAAGCCTGGCCCAGAGCGCCAAAACAGTCCCGGACTGGCGTGCGCCCCCGGGGGCCTCCCCACCCGGGTCCTGCCCGCTTTGCGGTCCCCCAGGAAGGGGAAGAGAAAGAGCGCGCGGAGGCCGCTGGACCCAGGCCCGCCCCACCCGACTGGGAGCGGGGCCAGCGGGGGACGGTCCCGCGCGGCCCTCGCCGCTTCTCAGGGCGGGGGTTGGAACCTAGCATGCGGGAGCCGCGGCCCGGCCTGGTCGCGGGGCTACCCCACGGCCTGCGCTCTTCTCGGCTTGCCTCCCCTCCCTCTCCATTTCTTTTCTCTTTCTCCCTTCTCCTTTTTCCTCTCCCGCTTCCTTTTTGGCCTCCTACCCCTTTTCTTCATTTCCTCTTCCTTTTACCTTTTCTTACTTGCCAGGGCTTATTTCCTATTCTCGCTCCCTCCTCTCGGTATACCGTCTAAACCACTTCGGTGCGCAGTCACACCCTCTGGAGTAGGGCATTCTCAGGGGCCGGGTTATTTCTCCCGCGGCAGGGTCGCCTCGGGAGTGTGTGCAATTCCCGGACACTCATGACAAATTCCTCCCTAATTTCTCTTCAAGCAGGGGCTCTTAGAAACTCTTCGCCTGTTTAAGGTTTGGGTGCGTTTGGAGGGGTGAAAGGAAAAGAGAGAGACTGGGGCAGTGATACGGGTGGGCAATTGCAAGCGCTCTATTCTGGAATTAGTATTTGGTCTTGGAATTTTACAGCTGCAACGTTGCGGACATCACCGTTGGCATTGCCTGGGCTTTGCAAATACGTGGAGACCTATGGGGCATCCGGGCCTCAGTACTAAGTATGTGAGGGGCTACCTAATATTTCATGAGTAACTACACCCCAATGACTGCTTCTGTTCTCAAATTCGAGCCCCAAGGGTCGGGTGGGGCCTGGTTCCTGGAGGACGCAGAAATCGTGGCCTTGTTCCCTGTGGCCTCCTCTTGGCGCTTTGGGATGCCTTGGGAACGAGCTTGAACCGCCCTTTTCTGCGCTCTTCCTCCAAATCTATAGACCCAAGTGGCCACTGCTGGAGCTGGGTGGAGCCAGGATTGAAGGGTGGCTTAAGTGTCTGAGGGGGAAGGGCCGCCCGCGGGCCCCGAGGCCCTGCTACCTTATGTACCATGCGGGGTTCAGCGCCTGGCGAAGGCTTTTTTTTCTACGCCTGCATACCGGAGAACCCCCAAGGCGCTGCGTGTTGGGCGTCGGGGTCTAGCCTCTCCCAGCA